GGGGGGTGCTCGCCCCGCGCCCCTCACCCGTGGCGTTGGGGGGACATTTGTTGTAGATGATCTCGCCGGCAGCTGTTTTCTTCCAGGTCATCAGCATGACGTACTCGTCCTTGCACATCTCGTGGTAGGCTGGGGTGGCGGGGGGGCAAGAAGAGAGGTCAGGCGCGGCCCAGACGCAGGGTGATGGGCACCGGGGTTGGGAGGGGGGGTGTTGCCCCTTACCTGGGCACTTCTTCTCATTGCAGGTCTTCACCTCCTCGCCGGTGCCCTCGCAGGGGTAGCCTTGCACACCGGTGCCCTCGCACATGCGGAAGCGGCGCTGCCAGCCGGTGTCGCAGGTCTTGGAGCAGAGGCTCCAGTGGTTCCAGGGACCCCACTTGCTGTCGGCTGTGGGGGCGGGGACACCATGGGATGCCCATCTCGGCATGGCGAGCGGCACCCGGCACGCAGGGGGACAGGGACGGGCTGACGGGGCCCAGCGGGGACTGCCCCCCGTGCCGCGAATTGGAAGCCCCGCGGGGTATGAAATCCATGGATCGATGATTTAGATCTCTTTAGACAAGACCGACATCCCTGTGCAGTCGCCCAGCCGGCAGCCCAAGGGCACCCTTGGGTGCACGGCAGAGCTGCTCCCTCCCTCCAGCTGCCCCGGCGCAGCAACCGCCTGCCTCCACGCCTGCGACCGATGCCGGGGAGGTCGAAAGACAAGGATGGGGTTGAAGGACAGGACGAGGACGGGGTCCATCCTTTCGCCTGACTACCCCCCTGCCTGGTGTCCCCCCATCCCCAGAGCCAGCCCCGGCCCCACGAGCTGCCCCCTGTGCACGACACGAGAGCTCACACGTGCTCGCACGCCCAAAGCACGCCAGGACCTGCAGCCACCGGAGCGCCGACGGGTTCCCCCCAGCGCGACACAGCAGGGAGGGCACAGAACAAATCCCTGGCTCCTCCGGCTGGGATGCGCCTGGAGGGACCAACCGGCACGAATGGGGTGGCTGCTGATCCCCGGCATCCC